TGATTGGAACAGGCGAAAGAAGAGAAGGACTGTATTTTCTTCAAGGTATTAAACATATTCGAAGTGTTAGGAGAGAAACTAAAGTTGAATCATTAGAAGTTTGGCATAAAAGAATGGGACATGCCTCTGAAAAGGTAATTAGGAAGTTACCTGGTGTTGATAGTGGAAGTACTGGAGTATATGGGTGTGACATATGCTTCAAAGCGAAGCAATGTCGAAGTGAGTTTCCGCTGAGTTCAAACAAAAACAAAGAGTGCTTTGAGATGATACATTGTGATTTATGGGGACCGTATCGGACGCCTAGCTTAAATGGTTTTTCTTACTTCCTTACAATTGTGGATGATTATTCTAGAGCTGTTTGGGTATTTCTGCTTGTGGAAAAGAGTCAAGTTGAAAGAACAATGATGGATTTCTTTGCTTTAGTTCAGAGACAATTTGATAAGCAAGTGAAGATAGTACGGAGTGACAATGGTAGTGAGTTCTTGAAGATGAGAGACTATTTTTACAGATTAGGAGTGATCCATCAGACATCGTGTGTGGGTACACCCCAGCAGAATGGAAGAGTTGAGAGGAAACATAGGCATATATTGAATGTGGCACGAGCTTTAAGGTTTCAGGCAAGTTTACCTATAGAGTTCTGGGGTCACTGCGTGTTGGGTGCATCACATTTAATCAATAAGACGCCTTGTGAGATACACAAGGGAAGAAGTCCTTATGAGATTTTGTTTGGAAAAGCTCCTATATACAGTGATATACGGATCTTCGGATGTCTCGCATATGCTCATAATCAAAAGCGTCATGGTGATAAGTTTGCTAGTCGTAGTAGAAAATGTGCTTTTATTGGTTACCCTTATGCGAAGAAAGGGTGGACTATGTTGGATTTAGAAACAAGAGAAGAATTTGTCTCTCGAGATGTATTTTTCATCGAAGATAAATTTCCCTTCTTTGAAGCTCACAAAGAATCAAACGTGTCTATACATGATGGACTGAGCCATATTTCTCATTTGATGGATGAGTCTGGAATCGAAAGAAGAGTTGAAGAAGCTGTTGAGATACGGGATCCAGTGTGTGACTTAACGCCAGGAGAAGCCACAAGAGCTGTTGAAAATGATGTGCAACAACCTGTTTCATAGGAAGTAGTTGAGAATGAAACAGAGGTTGTAGTTGTGACCCATGGTGAGACAGAAACACAACCTGAACCTTCGGGAGACACACATATGGAGACTGGTGGATCAGATACAATGTTAGGACGAGGTATGAGAAAGAAAGAAGCTTCTGTCAGACTACGTGATTATGTGGTTAACACAGTATTTCCTATTCCTATGTCTTTATCTAAGGTGAACCCAGATGGAAGTTCAGAATATGGAATTGAAATTTTTTTGAATTGTGATAGATTTTCTGAGTCACATAGAGGGTTTTTGGCTAGTGTAACAGCATGAACTGTGCCAAGGACATTTGCTGAAGCAATGAAATGTCCAAGATGGCGAGAAGCAATGAGGGTTGAGATTGAGGCTCAAGAGAAGAATAAGACGTGGTCAACGCAATTTTTACCTTATGGCAAGAAGGTGATTGAATGCAAGTGGGTATTCACAATAAAGTATAATGCAGATGGATCGATTGAAAGGTATAAGGCTCGACTTGTTGCTTGTGGTAATAGACAAGAAGAAGGAGTTGACTACAAAGAAACATTTGCCCCTGTGGTAAAAATGAATACAATTAGATTGGTTCTTTAGGTTGCTGCAGGAAAGAACTGGGAACTTCATCAGATGGATGTACACAATGCATTTCTTAATGGAGACTTGAAAAGAAGAAGTGTATATGAGGCTACCTCAGGGTTTCATTGCTTCTACAAAGGGAATGGTATGCAGGTTGCACAAATCTTTGTATGGTTTGAAACAAGCTCCGAGGTGTTGGTTTGCCAAGCTTTCATAAGCTCTTTTGAAGTTTGGTTTTACACATAATAAGTCAGATTACTCACTTTTTTCGTTGGTGAATGCTAAAGTTCAGTCGCATGTTCTGGTGTATGTTGATGATCTTGTGATAACAGGAAACTCACCAGAAGCTATTCGTGAGTTTAAAGGATATCTGAGTGGTTGTTTTCATATGAAGGATTTGGAAAAAACTTAAGTATTTTCTGGGAATAGAAGTGGCACGTAGCAAAGAAGGTATTTGTCCCAAATAAAATATGTATTGGATATTATTTCCGATGTTGGGTTGCTTGGTGGTAGACTTGTGGACTTTCCCATGGAACCAAACCATCAGTTAGGACGGTTTGAAGAGAAGGCACTTGATGATCCAGAGAAGTATTGAAGATTGGTTGTGAGATTGATTTATTTGGCTGCGACTAGACCTGATATTGCGTACTCTGTTCACATTTTGTCTCAGTTTATGCAGAAACCAAGGGAGGATCACTGGTTAGCTGCACTGAGAGTTGTTCGGTATTTGAAAGGGTGTCCAGGAATGGGAATTTTACTGAAAGCTGAATGCAATTTTTATCTCACAGCTTGGTGTGATTCAGACTGGTCTGGATGTCCGATTACCAGGAGATTTTTGAATGGTTGGTTAGTACAATTGGGGTCTTCTCATGTATCTTGGAGTCAAAGAAGCAGGATGTTGTGGCTCTTTCATCAGCTGAAGCAGGATATAGAGCTATGGTTGCTGCACTGAAGGAGTTGAAGTGGATTAAGGGTGTGTTATCATCTATGGGTATTGTACATTCAGGTGCTATGGATATGTATTGTGATAGTAAATTTGTCCTTCACATTGCAGCTAATTCTGTGTTTCATGAGAGGACGAAACATGTGGAGTCAGATTGTCACTTCATTAGAGATGATATACAAGCAGGAATTTTACGTACGAATTATGTACCAACAACGGATCAATTGGCAGATATCTTTACGAAAGCGTTAGGAGGACGTCCCTTTCAAGTGATCTTATCCAAATTGGGCATTTGAGATCTCCATGTTCCAACTTAAGGAGGGGTATTGAGCTATATTATAATTATGCAATATTTATAGACTAAGATTGTAAATACTTATTAATAATTTTAGGGTTTGTATATGTAATTGAGAGATCACGTTGTAAAAGAGAACAAAAAATAATAGAGAGAATTTTCAGATTTTTTATTAGGACTTCAATAGCCCCCGCCATTTTTTCCCTCGTTGCAGTCTGTTCTCATGTAACGCTCGACAAGTAGATAACATGCATGTGTGGTAATGGAAGAAGATGAAAATACTACTACGAACAATACTTAACTTACCTTAGATGATTAGAAAGGATCGTATAACATTTTTACTATACTTCAATTTGAATGTTTATATCTTATATATAGCTAATTAAAGACAAAACAGAGTGGATGAGAGTACTATAAGCTAGATGGGGGATTCATATAAAGTACCATCTCGAAATAATGAAGGTGTGATTCTAATTTGCACCATACTTTTGTAAAAAAACCCATCATTGTAAGCAGTACCAACTACAGAAATTACCCACATTCTATGGTAAATCTTTTGCCATTTATGATACTTGCTTCATGCTTCTATAAGCTTTAGTTATGTTGGATGCATGGTATCCATCATCTTTTTGTTTGTGGTAGACAATACTAACCCTAAGTGTAGAGAATATAGGCATAGAATAATAACAGCTTTGATCATTTTGAAGCATGCTAATAATTCTAGATGTTGACTTGTTACTCCAATTTGCCATTTAGTCTTTAGTAGTATTAGCTTCTTCACCATATTCTTTAATATATTTTTTAGTTTCATCTCAAGAAAATATCAACACAAGAAATGAGTAAGAATTTTTAGTGGTCCTAGTCCTTAGCCCCATCAATTATGTTTTTGCTTCTATTCAAATCACATGATTACATTTCTTATATAGGAACTATTGATATGTAGAGGTCTCTTAGGAATCAAGATTCTTTTCTTAAATTTTGGCCCCAGTTATGAGGAAAGATGCCAATGTGCTGCCCCCGAGAATCCAAGCCCTCGACTTTGGAATTGGTTTGGTAGGAAGTTGGAAGAATGTAAAAAAAAGTTTAAAGAATGAATGTTTTAATGGTGTTTTCACATTAGAAAATCAATCAGTTACATAGATATTATCAGTACATTAAAATTACTATAAATAGTTAGGTGTTTGAAATTATATTTGGTTCTACTAGTTAGTCTAAAAATACAAATAATCAGGTCTTTGAATTGTTTAATATATTCGGATTTAATCATAGTGAAGTATTTTTGGCCGAGCAATTGATTCACTTAGACAAATAGATAAAAAAAATTAATAAAATCAAATTTTAATTAATGTACTTTTATCAAAACAAACTGAATTGCTCAAATCTTATATGTTTAATTATATATATATATATATATATACTATTATAAACTAAAATAATTTGTATATAGATATCTTCGAATTTAGTATTTGACCAATCAAATTTAAATCAATTCAAAAAAAAAAAAATTATTCAATTAGAAATTTAACAAAATAACTACTTTTCTAATTTTGATTTAAAATAATTAACAATTTAAAGTTCGAAAGATACAAACTTAAATCAAATTAAAATTTTCATTTTGTTTTAAAATAATATTATTTCAGCAAGAAATCACTTAATATAACTAAAAGAAGGGAAAAAAATCAAATTCTAGCCCATACTTTTGTAACCTTTCTCTTGTCGGTTACAATACAAGAAAACAATATGTGAGAAACTGAATGACTTGGCTATCGTTATGGTCTATTTAGTATGACCCCAACTGGTTGAGGCACTTCACTAAAATCTCATGTATGAGTATTGTATATATTCAACAAAGAACAAGAAAATAGATAAAGAGAGTATGTTTTGGTCTTCTTCTTCATCATCTTCGGCCTAAACCCATGCATAACTGGTCCCTCTGTAATCATGAGTTTTCTTTTACCATCATTACCTTCAAAAGACTTCTCCTTTTCTCTTCATCTCTCTCTCTCCCTCTTACAAGACATAGGCATTTCTATCGATCTCTATATAAAGTTTACCTTCCCATTGTTTGTTACTTAGCTTTTTGTGCGGGATAAAACCACAAGAAGATGTGTCTGAGATCTTCAGTATCATTCCCAGACACACGCACACCTACGATGAGGTTAGCTTCGTGCTACAACAAACGTAAATCAAAGACGCAAACCCGTCTTCGTGTCCTTAACCTCACCAGGTTCGGTTTCAGACACATTGACTCTGTTTTAGCGGTCTGAATAATAAGTTTATAACAATCTCACTCTGTGTTTTGCTTCCCTTACTTTCAACGCAGGAGGAGAAGAATAATGAGGGCAGAGAAGAAGATGGAGATGAGAAACATGAAGCTCTTCCTAGAGAATCAAAGCATCATACTAGAGAATGAGGCTTTAAAGAAGAAAGCTCTTCTTCTCCACCAAGAAAACAATGCTCTCTTTTCTCAGCTTCATCAGTAACTCCCCTGTTTCTTTACTAAGTTTGTTCTCGTCCTCTCTACTAAAATAAAAAAACAAAGGCTCCGGACCCAAGTTCGAGCCTAGATTCACCTATGTACTAAGTATTGATATATATATCAATGATCATCATGCCCTTTTAGTATAACAGCGCCAAACACTCAGATACAAAACACAATCATCCACATAGAAGAGATAGTAAGTAAAAAAAACAACCAGATTCATCATAAATGCAACAGACAAGAGCAACTATATGATCCATCTCTAAGTTTTCTCATCAGCCAAAGAGAACCAATCTCCAAGGAAGACATATCTAATACCTGCCGATTAAAATGAAGTCATCATCATCAAGTACCTGAACATCCCTCTCTCCTACAAAATGCTCCCTTCCAATCTCCTTCACAAGTTTAACGAACTCAACCCTTTTGGACACAGGCAACGGCACATAAGGTAACCTAAACACCGGCCTAGCAACTCCTAGCTGAGCCAAAGCTGTGTTAACACCAATAGGATTCGGTTCTTGGAACAGCCAATCAATTAAAGGCAGGAGCTTCGAGTTCAAAGCCGAGTCTCTACCTTCAAACATGAGTTTCCTCACCAAACCAGGAACCAAGTTGCTAACAACCGATATAACACCAGTCGCCCCGTGATCCCACCTAGAATCATGACACTGATCATCATTCCCACTCCACACAACAATACCCTTCTCAGTATACTCTTCAACTCGGTCATTACCCACACACTCCTTAACACCAGCTAAATTGCCGTTACCAGAGAGTTTAAAGATAACATGTGGAGGTATATCTTGATTCGTTCGACCTGGCACATTGTATATAATCGTCGGTCCCATGTGAAGAACGGTTTGAAAGTGAGCAGTCATGCCTTCAATAGATGTTTTTCCGTAGTAAGGGTTTATGTGAAGAGCAGCGTGCATTCCCACAGCGAATCCTTGTTCAGTGGCGTGTATAGCTTCCCTTGTGGAGTTGCTTCCGGTGTTCCCAATTACTTTGATTCTTGAGCCGAAACAGTTGACGGTATGGCCTATAAGCATTATGTGTTCGTCCCAGCTCATCAGCTGGCCTTCACCGGTTGTACCGCCAACGATCACACCTTCAGCGCCTTTAACTATCTGCGTGTTGACTAGCTCATCGTATGCTTCGAGGTCGAATCTTCCATCGGGGAGATACGGTGTCTTGATGGCTGTGATCACTCTAAGTGACCTTATGTCTTCTGTGTTCGTCCTGCAACCACACAAAGCAAGAGACATCAACAAAAACACTAGTGGGGCATTAAAAAGGAACTGAAGCTAAAGCGACCTGTTTTTGTCCTCGAGACTGCGCATTGGGAGGTGGAAGTTAGGAACTACAGCTGCTATTGGAGATACCCATTTCAGATTCCTTCTGCGTGATGAGAATATAAAGCAGAGAACGTTAATGATTCAGACAAGACAGAGCCTCTGAGTAATGATGTCTGGTAATAGACTAGCATAAGTCAGCAACTCCGAGATTATCATCACAAGACTATGTCTCAGAAACACTAACTACTCTAAATATCACTAATCCAGCTAACAGATCCAATTCTTTGCAACGATAAAAAAGATCGATTTTTTTTCGAAAACCTCAAGAGTTATAGAGATGGGAATGAATAGAAGAGAGGGAGTGAAACCTCTTGTAGAGCTCGAATTGATGTGGACGAGGGAAATGGAGGGCAGAGTCAATGGGAATCAAGCCGTAACCTTTCAAAGCTGCCATCTTTCAGTGCAAAACAACCCAGATATTTTGAATTCAATCGGAACTCTAATAAACAAACGAAAGAGATGAGTGACAGATCAGTAGGAGGCGGTGATGTTAATAGTCAGTGTAGATGATCGAAGCTGAGAACGTTGCAACGATGGGGTAAATATATTGAGATCAAGCTGTAGTGAGCATGCTGACGTTAGATTCCGGCAGAAAGCGGCGGGAGAGAAGTATGTAGAAGAAGCCTGAAACTGATGTAAGAAGAGTCAAAGACAAGGAGTGTGCCTACTTTAGGGTTTTGACTTTTCTTGTATTCATGACTATTTGCCACGTTGAATATATATAGAGACGTTGACAGTGTTACCAACTACGTGCGGACAAATACGTCATCGTTTGCAGGTGTCTTAGGTTTAAGGAAACTTGAGCCCATCAAGTTCATTGGGGAAGTTTTATATTTGAACCGATGAATAAAAAGAGAACTCTATAGGCAATCATTTAACATCAGAGTCAGAAATGAAAGATTTGAAAGCCGAAAAGAAAAAAAAAAATCAGCATCAGCACCACTGGAGTAGAACCGGACCAACGGATAAGCCGAGCATGTCAGCAAGAGCAACCTGAACCTCACTAGAGCCGTGTTCGCAGCTAATCAAGCTAGTCAAAAGTGGAAACAGAGACTTCATGTTCTTCTCAAATGATACCTCATCCAATGTACACATGGCTTGAAGTGTTGCAACTATAAGAGGAGCTCTTGCTGCTAACTCCCTTCGTTTCCCTGATCCCAGGGGTATTCTCCATCGGTACTCGCTGCCTCGTGATGACTCTGACTGTTGTTTTTTCGTGGAAGAAGAAGAGGTCTCGGTGTAGAAGTTTAGAACTTCTTGACAGGTTTTGACTAAGAGTGACTCTATTTCCTCTTCTTCTCCTGCTTCTTTGTTTTCGTCTGTGACGAGATTCTGTAAGAAAGTGAGGCAGATTTGGTAAGACTCGTTTTCTAGACGAAGTAGTGGAGGATCTTGCATTTGTGTCATGGGTCCTAGCTCTTGTAGTCTTGAACGCAGTATCGAGTTGCTGTTTACGCTGTGAGCATGTAACGCTACACCGTGCAATGCATCGAATAGAACTAGCGTGTTTTTCGCTGATAGCTGAGGTCTGTACATGTTGTAAATCTCCATCACAGCCTGAAAAAACAAACATTACAACAACAGCAACAAGAATATTACCATCATAATAACATAAAGTGATATTCTAAAGGGTTGTGGATTCATTGAAGGGAAAATGCAATGCAATTATAACATATAAACATAAGAAGAAGACAAAGCCTGAAGAGAAACTGACCTGAATCAACAAAAGCTGAACAGCGGCACGGCACTTAGCATCAGAGATAGCAGCGTAAAGACGGAGTGCTGATGTCTGACTCTCATCATTACCATCCGAGCCAGTTGGAGCAGCAGACTCAGCATTACTGTTCTGATTGTTGTGAGCATTTCTCTGGCTTCTCTCCACATACTCTTCGCTGAGAAAATATGAAAAATCTGGGCAAGTCGTCTTGGCCGATTCTTTTAAAGAAGACACTACTTCCAACCATTTCTCTTCAGAAAACAAGACACCAGCGTCGCTCATAAGACGAACAAACGCAGCGATACCAATCCCTGCAAGGCTCTGGTGAGGTCTCTTTATGAAGCTCACAAGAAGCATTAGTACTTTCTTTAGTAGTGGATTGACTGTAGTGTAGAATTTGACAAAGAGATCCACTACAAGCTGCAGTGCTAGTGTGCAGGTCTCATATAGCCAAGCATCATGGTCTAGCTCGTCCACATCACCATAACTTCCTTGATCTGGAGACTCGTCTCCGCCAGATGGATCAATACCATGCCGTACATAGTCAAATATAGGAAATAATACAGATTCGAATACTTTTTCCCATAATGACAGAGTAAATAAGTGGCCGTGATTGCGTAAGGCATCAAACAGAATCTGTAGTGCACTTTTCCTGATTTCTGGTCTTGGATCGAAACTAAGCTCTGACAAGCCTGCAAATCAGATATAGGAAGGTGCAACACATGAATAAGAATGTTCAACTTAGATAACCATGCGAAAAAGGTAGCCAAATGTAGAGACTATTCGATATAATGTTATACCTGCCAGTAAGGGAAACCAAAAGTATAGTTGATTATTGCTGTTTACAATCTCTCCGTTCTCTAGTTTCACGCTTTTTCCTGAGTGGAGAGATGACTGAGGATTCTTTCCAGAAGTTTCCTTGTCTTTGTTCGTTGATGGTGATTTAAGATCTCCTTCTGCAAGCTTTGTTGCACAATACCTGAGGAAAGCTATGGAACGGAGACTGATATCCTTGCTAAATCTGTTATTGGTAAATGCAACAAGGCAATTCACGCAATCTGTAAAAGTGGTGGTTTCTGTCTCAGTGATGTATGGGAAATATTCTCGAATAATCTTCTCGATAATCTCAAAGGACAGAAAAACAATATTCTTGTGGTCATCATATGCTGCTGTGGTGAAGACCTGCAAAGAAAGAAAACACATTGAGATTTCATAAGTGAACCAAACTTCTTAAATGCAAGTGGTTGCCAGAGAAAAAGTAAATGCGTACCATGAACATGCTTTTCCATCCCGACTTAACATTATTTACACGCGACAACACCATCTGAGAAACACATCGGATGATAAGTTCTCTGATCTCAACATCATTACTTCTACGCATAACAATGACAAAAGGTGTCATAAACTCGTTCTGGAAGTTGTAATTAGCCAACTCTTCCCGTTCCAGGAATTTCATTGACAACTGGCGCAAGGAATCCATAGCAAAAATTGCAATAGAAAGATTCTCTGAGCATCCAATGGTTACAAAGAAACCCGATAGCACTTGCCATATGCTTGACCAAACAAGCCTTATGCGGTTCATGTTATAATGCCTGTCACCAATTACCAACAGAAAATGTTCAGACTATATGCTTAAAAATGCTAGATGAGAGTCCATTCCTTATATGCAGTATATAAATGAAAAGAAAGGAGGAACTGGCTATTCTTACGCTATCTCAACAATCTTTGTGAGGCTAAAAACGCGTGGATTTGAAGGAGACCGCAACTCGTCGATAGAAACTTTGCAGAGTGCTTTGACAAAGTCTATTATAGCTTCACTATTCAGATTCTGGCTCTGTGCGAATATTAGATTCATTTCACCAACCTGCTCCAACAAGTTTAAATTAGACACTATACTGCTTATCTGGCCTTGTCTCACGTTCCTAGAACCTTTTCCGCCAAGAGTCATGCTGTCATATGAACCCCGCAAGACACCTGTAGCTGCATATTGACTTTTCCCGGGACCTTTCTTTTTCAGAACAGGAAGTACATTTAGTTTGGGTTGCTTTGATTTCTCCGACTCATTTTGCTTGGAAGCAAAAAAAGCGGCATCGGGAGGAGCACCTTCTCCCAAGAGATGTAGTTGCTCAAAACGGGAAACACAAGTTAGTATATGCTCCCAGGCATCTTGCAAATAGTTTCCTTCTTCATCAGCAAGTTTGAGAATCGCCTGGAAAACAACCAAATATTAATTCGGATCCCAAAAAATTATACAAGGAAAAGACAGAGAACATGGTAAGATGGAGAAAGATATCCGAGATACGTAACATGTTTTTCAGTACAGCTACGTAGGGGCCCTATAACACATAACAATAACATAAAACTTAACTAAGTAGGATACCAACCTTAATGGCCTCAATATTTTTTTGCTTGATATCCGCTGGGGAGTGAAGTGAAGTGAACTTCGCTAGTGAAGTCACAAAAGCATCTCTATGGGTTTTCATTGACATTAACGAAGTAGCATGGATTGCATGGTGGAAGCCTTCCAGACATAAGTGGATAACTATCAAATCATCACTTTGGTCTAGCGGCACACTGAATGCAGCAAGCATGGGAGCCCAACAAGCCTCAATCATGAATCTGAGAATAACCACATCTGTCGCAGCATAGTAGGTTGACCTGCAAACTCAAAATAAATTACAGATCAGATCAAAGATGCCTAAAGGATGGAAACAATTTCAGGAGTGTAGATCCGAGTTGAAACGAATAAAACGTGTAACAAAGACACGGTTGTTACGACAGAAAAGATTGTCAATGACTGCTAATGCAAGGAAGAGTTTGTGATCTTACTCTGATTTTCGAGCTTTTTCCTTAAACTGCTCTTGCATATGCTTCATCAGATCATCACTTGTTTCCGCATATGAATCTCCCCCCTGCTTACGGATCACTATGTTTAATATACCATCCAAACCAAGCATTCTGTTTGAGCTTGCGGATTGTTTCTGTTGCAAATTTAAGTCATCTTCTTTCATCTTTATCTCTTTCTTCGTTATCCGTTCATACAGCGATCTCATGTAGTCCGCAGGTAAATCTTTTCCGTCGTCTATTCCCCGATTGTTTCTAATAAAGTCATCGGCAGACATCTATATGTTCCATAAGAAGAAAAAAAATGTACAAAGAACCTCATCAACATTCTATCTCAAACTTCCAGAATAATTGTGTTTATCAGATAAAATGAATCAAACAAACCTTGTTCTTCACCATGGGATTGTGCGCATCAGTATTGAGCATGATCACAGAATATGCAAGGACATAAGCTGTGTCTGCGCTAGTAAACACCTTAGGATTACACTTGCAGTAACGTTCAGCAAACTTTTCCATGATTCGGTCAATCTTTTGTGCTTCTCCTGGCAGCCTAAAACCTTCCAGAAAGGTTCTTATTGCCTCATCAAATTCCATGTCTTGGAAATCAAAAGAATCCACATATGCATGCATCACCTTGAGATGTAACTCTTCTCTTTCCCCAAGATAATCGCCTATCAAAGATTTATTTAACCCTGACGCTTCTTTGAGAAAAGCTGCTATTTCTTCAGGAGACTCACCCACCTTACCCGCATTGATGAGAAACTCAATGCCTTTTGTTGGCTTCCGATTAAAAAGAGAAATACCTTCCTGGGACAAACATTTAAATTAGTATTAACGACCACATAACACTTATAGGATGTCACTCTTCTGAATTATATGCCAAATACCCGATCATCTTTACATTCTTACCTGAAGTTCGAGCTTGTAAGCCCGGCGCTGCTCGATGGCCAGAGCATCAGATGTACCTCCTGAAGTTTCAGAGTAGGTATCTGATCCGTCAGCAGACTCATCAGCATTTCCATTTGCCAACGGGGGACTTCCGGGTCCCAGATCGATCTCAAGTGCTTCAGATTTATTCAGCGAACTAGAAACTGGCAGGCGCA